GGGACAAAGTTTAAAATATTCTGTGAACATGTTGCTTTAATACTTGCACTCTATATTATGACGCCGAGCCCAGCTGTTTGATTAGGTTGATTAGAACTGTTTACAGGTACGGAAAATGAAGTTTCTTGACAGGTCTAATTACCTCATTGACTTATTTGTTACAGGCTAATCACCAAGGGTGGCACTTCACTCTCCAAATTTTCAGTTTTGCGTTCGTCCGCTCACTTAGCTTGCCAATATTTTTTCCGTCCTTTACGGGAGCCTGTCCGCAGGCTAAAACAAAATAAACTCATTCATGTTGACTAGGAGATAACAACAGTCTATTGATTATTCAGATTTACATTATGTGGGAAGTGAGGTGGGATTTTTAACCATGGTATGTTCAGTTACATGATTTGTTTCATAATTTACTTCAACTGGCTCTAAATGCCCTTGTTGGATGAGTTAAAATATATTTCTAATAAATATTCTGCCTTGAAGGTTCACTGGGTGTCCAGTGTGAACATTTTTAAATTCGAAGGTACAGTGTATAAGCTTTTTAAGAAATTAAACAATATGTTTCTAAGTTATTTAGCATTTGAGTGGTAGTTTTTTATGATAATCTTTTTTTGATAATGCATATGCAACCAAATTTAACACTGGAGCAATGGGCAAATTAAAATATGTCATGGACCACTTGGCATTGGGATTCTTACTCTATGGTGCCACATACTTTTACAATGAAATGTTCACCTACCTAATGTGTTTTCTAACAGGCATTTTTGGGTTTCTCTGTTACTAACAGATCCAGATGATCCATTCAAACTCACTGATGAAACAAGACAGATTGGTCTCGCAGTGTGTCGAGGAACAGCTGTGGTGTTAGTCTGTCCTGTTGATGGCATGGAACCCATTGCAAACCCATTCTTACAACAAGAATGATTGTGGAAATAAGAGTAATTTGTGTTAGAGCATTTTATTACTGTTCTTGTATAGCACTCCCTGAACAACAGTACTGTACCTTACCTATGTGTATGTATTCATCTATATGCAACCTATACCAGTCAGCTTCAAATAAGGGTAGAAAACCTCCAAAGATCTTTATTGTTTGGAGTTGGGATAGGAGTGGGAGATGGCTGCAATATTCTTTTGATCACTCTGATACAGGTCATGTGAGCAGATTGAAGACTCAGCAGTACAATGCCTATGTGGTACATTAGACTGTAAATGTTGCTATGTCAAGTTTCTATGAAAATGTCAAAAACTTAATAAATAAAGATGAAAAATTAGTGTTGATGTTCTTTTTGGTTTTAATTCTAGGCTGATTAAATAGTAGTTTGCCTTGTATACAACCAGGGAGGCACGGTGGTCTGATGGTTAGTACGCTTGACTCCAGATGGAGCAGCCCAGCCCTGGCTGGGGACATTGTGTTGTGTTCTTGGGCAAAACACTTAATTCTCAGTGTCTCTCTCCACCCAGGTGTAAAAATGGATACCGGCAAACTTAACGCTGGGGATAACCCTGCAGTGGACCAGCATCCCATCCAGGGGGAGTAGAAGTACTCCTAGTCAGTTCATGCTACAGAAACTGCGATAAGCTAGCTCCAGCATGATGGGCCACTTGGCTCGTATGCAGAGTTTACCTTTTTACCTTGTATACAGCCACTGCCTCTGAAATTTGATTAGAATGCAACTTTATAGACACCCACTTATTATAGACAGTTTTGTTTTTCCTGATGAAATGCTCATATTATGTTACATAAGCCTACTTAATATTGATACAGACAAATACACAGTACTCTGTCACCAGAGTGAAATACTGTTGTAAATGTACACAGCTAATCTCGTGTTACAGACAGTGGTTATCTGTTCACTGTGTAGTTCCATGTGTCACAATTATATCATTCTGCTAATTGTTGTGCCCTGCTAGAAAATGAAAGCTTTGTAAAAGGTAAAATGCAATTTAAGTATGACGATGTGACATGATGGACAATTGTCTTTCTTCCCATGTGCAGCTCGCTGTACCTGCACAAATGTTTCACTTCCCCTGCCTTTTAGAAGATTACTGGACATTCTTTTAACATTGCTTTTACAGCTGGTTGAGGTAAAGCCTCATTTTGGGTCCCAAATTATAACTCATGAGCTGAGTGCTCCAATATTTTTTTATCTCTGCATGCCATGTAATATTCTTTATATATGTGGAAGATCTTTCACAAAAATAAAACTTTCAGTAGAGTTAATCACTACTGCAGTCAAATGAACATGTAATATATAACATTAAAATTCTGACCAATTATAAGCCAAATACAATATACCTTGAAGTAACGCAATTTTTTAATTGTGCAAACTGTTCAAATGGCAGTGTACTGCAGTTCACTGTTGCCAGTTGACAACTGAAAGATGTTGGTTAACTTTACCAATGAACTTATCTTGACAGGGAAACAAGAGGGGAAGGGGAAATTAAAATCAAAACACACTCTGGAGGAAAATCATGCAATCGCAATGTCAATGCTAGTCCCAGACCTGACTGATTGGTCACATCAAACAGCCCTTCTAGACAATAAAATTACAATGTCAAAAACCATTAAAAAACTGTCCATGAGGCACAAGGCAACAGTACAGTAGAACATAAAAGAGAAAAAACCCTCAGCGTTAAGGCACTGCCTATAGTCAATACCTACCACAGATGTTAACCTCTGGTAAAATGATGACACTTTAATCATGACAAACAGTCAAAACAAACAACATGAAACAACAGCAGGATATATCAATGCCTTAAAATATCAAAACAACTTCATTGACAGCAATGAAATGGAAAATTAAGTAATGTGCTCCTGCTTATGTTCCATCAAGCAAATTGAAGTCATTGAGGAGACAAGTAAAGCATTCATAATCAGTCCTACTTTTTCAACACAATTTTTCATGTTTTTTTTGTCATGAATTTAGTTATTAGTAATAGTAAAATATACCACAATAGCATCCAAAAAATACCAAATATGTATCATTTCTAACAAAATACCAGTACCATTATACTAATATAACTTAAATGTATTAACATGCATTATAAATTGATATTTTATAACATGTACAATGTATAAGTTTCTGACAGTGAACTTATTTCAGTACTGTTCATTACTTTTCATTTTCTAGAAGCTTTCTTGTTAAACTTTCACGATTTAAAATTTCATCTTCACTCTCATAATTATCATCTTGATCAGCATCATCTGGAACCTGAAAAAAAAAATTATTATATAATAAGATAAATGATTATTACATATTAACTACATTAGACAAATAATGGAAAAAGAGGGCATTACGACAATGAAAAAACAGAGACTTTCCTTTCAATTATGGAAGAACTAACTTAAAGTTAATTCTAAATTTATCACAGACAATCTGCTGCACTTTAAAATAATAGTAAACACTTTAAAAAGGCTCATGTTACTGAGACTGGATTATGTGCTTTAGACTGCCAACCAGTCAAAAACAGCTACCTGTTCATGCCTACTTTAATTGGACACATTTATTTGTATAATTTACAATTACAGTTATAATACTTAGCAATGGAAAGTTTTATACATTAATCAGATACATTAAAAGAAGATCTTATCAGAGCCATGATGGAAATGTAAAGATCTTTACTCAGTCTTATATTTCAAGGTAGTTTTATTAGCAAAGTACAAAGTGATCAGAGATCTTCATGAGACCAAGCTGGAGAAAGGTTTCAGAAGGTGTATCTTAAAATGTTACATGTACAGTACACCAGTGCAACATTAACTTACTAAATTGTGCGATCATAACATTTTGATTTTATGTTTTCAATCCAAGGCTAGCACTGGAAACATTGAAATTTATTATTAATTAAAAGTGATGGTTACTTAATTACCCTTGTACTTGCAATTGGCAGGAAAGAAGCTATTTTTTGATTAGCTACTAATATTTCAGGTAGGCACGCCCCTAACTCTATAATTTAATATACAACCTTGTAAAAAGTAATTTTGTTCGTCCAAGGGGAAATAAAGCTTGTTGTTGTTGTTAAAATGAAAAAAGCGTTAAGTTGAAACAGATAATGTTTAAGATTAAGATATGTTAGAAAGTAAAGTCTTGAATACTAACATGAAGAGAAAGAAGATGATGTAGAAGATACAGGCCAGATTAAACAAAAGCAGGAAGATATACCATTTGTCCAGTCCAGAGTTTTTTTAGTTCCCCTCGTCGCCAGCCAATCAGCAAACCAGTAATCAGAGTACATGGTACCAAATAAAGTAAGGCTGGTTGGCCTTGTTCCATAATGAACAGCATCACAAATGTTATGAACAAACCCACACCATAAGCTGGAAACAATCAAATACCATTGATTGTGTATTAACAGAAAGGTTGAACTTTCAACAAACATTGACCAGTTGGAAACAATTACACACAAAACCGAAAACATTAAATGAAATACTATTTTTTTCAGTAAGTTTCTTTTTATCTATTATACACAGCAGTTCTATGCATGCAGATATTGAAATAACTTGCAGCTGATCAAAGCATATTAAAAAGAACTTTAAAAATTAATGAAAACTGTCCCTCACATTTTAAATGTACCAGCAACAAGATTTCTAAGCATATATTAAACCTGTAAAGGTCAATCTAAACCTAATAAATTAAACCTGAACTTGATTTTCAAAAGTTAGCTTGATAGAATACAAATAACTAGTCATTGTCAAGAACATTTCTAACATTGACCATAAATACTGCAAGTAAACATTTAATGTAAGTAACTGAGTGTTAGTGAGTACTGTATTGTAAAATTCATTGCAAAATATCATTAGTAATGTTTAGAAAGCAATTTATTGAATTGTAAGTAATCTATCAAACACGAAAGACCATGTTTGACCAGATTTCCAACCACCGAGAAGAGAGTTGGAAAAAAAGACGTGCAGCAGAGTATTTTTAACAAACTTCGAGGTGTTTGGAAACGTGGTCAAACAGTGTCTTGAGTGTTTGATATATCTTCTCAATCGAAACTACAACTAAGGAGAAAACAGAGAATTAAAATTGTAAAATTCTATGTTAATTAAGATCAGATATCCAAACACCGCTACGGTCATTTTCTTTGTGTAAACTTAATGAATTACTAATGAGTTTGAGAATGTTAAATAAAATTTAAAAAGAAGTTAGAAAGAAACCCGTGCAAAGTCTCACAGAACTCCATACAAACTCTAAGAGTACACCAAGGTCACTTGCAGCAACAGTTATTGCAACTTACCAATAGATGTTGCAATAAAATATATCCTACGTGGTGTGTTTGTCATGACATCAAATGAGTGACAAAAACCAATATAGAGGGCTGCAAACAGACAAGCCACAGTCTTAGTTACTCTGACTAATATCTATCATGAACAGATATTATGCAGTCATGACATAAAACTAAACACACACACAACAACAACAATAAAACATTTACAGAAGCTCACTACCAGGCCTTTTGTGCTAAAAATTAAAACTTAAAACTGCTTTTCTGCTCAAAGGTTGCATTTATTTATTATTTTCAAAAACTTAGGGTCAAGTGTCTTTCAAGTCTGTGATTGTGGGATTTTTCTGGACATTTTCAGTCGTTAATCTAGAAGAAATCTCTTATTAACCAAGCTTTCTTGGGACTGTTTGTAAGTCAGAATATAAGTCAAAATGGTCTTGCCTTACAATAACATACCCATCAGGACATATCAAATTTGATGCAACTTTGTTATTAAGCCAGGTTTCAGAGACAAAGCAAAGTAAGGTCAATCTTGTTAATACATAATTCAGTATTTAGCGCTGCCAGTGCATCCAGTGTAACTAGAGAACAAGCATTGATGACCATGCAACTGGGGATGATACTAGGGGGAGCAGGGCCAGGCTTAAATAACTTCACTGTAGACAAGTTGTTGGCATTGCAAGGGCTGTTAACTGATGCATGTCTAGTGTAACAGTTAGATTTGAATATTCTAGAGTGAGTGACAGCAGGAATACTCATATACCACATCCTTTTCAGTCTTTTCAGTCACACTAGGTTTCCACTACACACTCCGCGAGCGCGAAAAAGTCCTTGCTGTTTCAGACTTGTTATTACCTGAGAGGCTAGATAAGCAGTTGCAAACATTTTCAGCGAGATGAGTTGCGCTCTTGAATAATTATGGTTATCATCCACATGGGCAGCCTTGAAGTGTTCACAATGTTCGTGGTTGTCAGATATTCTTGATGCATTTTGAAAACAAGGGCCCAGATATGGAGAAATATCAGCATGGATTGTTGAGTCAAACACAAAATAACCTTGATGGAAGAGCTAAAGAAATCATGCCATGCTTCGCAAACTTAACACCAAATGACAGGTTTCATTCCCGAACCAAGTTCATTTTGAAATATCTTGACTCGCCATAGCAGAAACGGCTCATAAAAATCTAAAAACTGCACATCCCTGTACAAACCCTGTTCCTCTGTAAAGCTGACATTGTTAGACATCAGAAGGAATAGAAAATTCGGGTGAAAATGGCCCAGAGAGGCAAATAGAAATAAAATACTCAGGAGCAAAAAATACAGGCCGGCAACCATGACACAGTGCATGTGACAAAGTATAATGGTACATGTACATGTACACTGTTTGTTGGTTGAGAAAATACTACAATAATTATATTATAGTTCAGTCCTGAAAATTTAGCTCACCATGTGACAAAGTTCTAGGTTTCAGAAATCATTAAGAGCAGCTTCATGCACCTGAGTAATTCTTACTCACCAGGTACCAGAATGTCTCCAAAACCCAGCAATGAGTAAGGTCTCAGACACACGGACAGTGCTGATCTGCTTAGTCTAGGCACCTTGAAAACCATTGGTAACTGTTCTTTACTTCCACCACCTTCAGAAAAGCAAAGGATTTCTTTTGTAACAAATACATGTAATTATTATTTTACAATGTACACATTTCACTGCATTTTATTTAATTCTAGTACAACATGCATTATATCCTTTAACTTTTGTTTCATATATCCTTGCTTTTTGGTAGGGACAAATGACACACAGAACAAGCTTGTCATGAATTTTAAGCGTGAGATTGATATTAAGTAACGCTCCCGCTAAGAAGGATAGCAAAAACAATAGGGCTGCAGCAACAGGAGCTGTTAGTAGCTAATGAGCAGAAACGTGATGATTAAACTAATCTGAGCTACTTTATTGGCTAAATCGCTATTAGCGTGAAATTCAAATGGTTTTATAAAAATTTGGGGTACCTAGAGGTCAATTCCTAGCTCAAATTAACAGGATATCTTTGTTATCACATGACCTACTTGGCTGCGACGTATCAAGATAATGAGGAACTAATAACTTTTTGTGAACCACCAGACTTAATGCTCTATTTTCTCTTCTTTTCGTCATAATTTTGACCTATTTATCAATTGTCAACAGCATTTTATTGTCTTGTTTGGCCAAAAGCGTTCTGGTACAAAACTAGGTGGCTGTACATAGGCTACAAAACCAAAACATTTGCAAAACTAGAGCTGCAACTTAGTTTGGTATGCAAAAGCTTACAGCAAGCAACATCTCAGAGTAGATCTTCATCTGCTGCAGTGTCCCAAAAAAGACTATTTAGTTAATAAGTTCCAGGAAAGTCTTGAAAAGAATCTGACAAGAAATCCGCTCACCTTGAAGCCAGTTAATAAATGCTGGTATTGTTTGAGCTGAGCTCAAAATATCTTGAGCAAACATCTTGAGCTGGCAATATGACAACTGCGCTCACAAACAGTACCGCCTTCCTGAAGCCTTCCCGCAGTTAGCTTCTGTCTTCTGACAAAGGATTCTACAGTGTATTTATCTCTTTTACGTCTCAAGTTCAAATTAACTGAAACAACAATGCCGTATCTACTGGTGTTCAGTGACTGCCATTTCCTGTATTACAGTCGCGGCAATTAAGTGAGAGTGATATTTTTTATTCACGCAATTCTTATTACCCATTCGAAGCAAACACTCATACGAAGTTTATATGCCATACAAATTTTGCATGCAAAAGATTTTTTAATTGAAGCAGACAGAGAGAAAAACACCATTCATTTTCTATGGAATTATTACTTTCTTGCAAAATTTCATGCCTGGCACAGCGAAAACAAAATAATTATTTTGCAGGAATGTGACGTGAATGTGTTTATAAAGTAGAGAAATCTCACTTCATGTTTCAGTTGGCAACGAATATAAATCTTGTTACTTTGCTTAATTTTAGCAGTACTTGTAGTACTGGATCCTTTGATATTGGTAATCTTTCTCTTCAGTTCAGTGCTGGAAATAATTTTTCTTCTTTAACAGGACATGTGTCCTTTCAAATCTTCATTTTGGTTGGACATCTTATCAATCTGACCGGACATTAATTTGCATAATTGATTAGCATAATTAATTAGCATAAGAAAATTTTTTAGCATACAGTAAAGATTTTCAATACAAATCGTTCAAAACTGTCTTTAAATTTGATTTATTTATCATTTAAGGGTTTTAAGGGTTTTTCAAATGCGATCAGCCATTTGCAAGTTCTCCGATGTGAGGAATCCTTTACAGCAAAGCAGAACGATAGATTGCTTTCTTTTCTTATGTTGAATGTTAAAGAAGCAAAGATCTTTCACTATGTATTTCTGGAAGGTCATAATGACTGAGAAAATAACCGTTATTGATCGTCAACACAGGGAAATGTAGTCGCCATTATGGTAGCCTGTGAACGCTGACATATTTTCAGCTGTTGACTAAACCAGAATTTTGGGTCGCCAAAGATAAAATTTTAGCCGCATTGGCAACCGTACTGGTCGCAACCTCAAGCCTTTTAACAATGAATATAACCAACTTTTATGGATGGACAATAACTTGGTGTTGGTGAAATGTTCGGACATCATGTCCGACCATAATGTGAAATTGGCCGGACATATTCAAAATTTGGTCGGACAATGTCCGATGACCGACTGTTATTTCCAGCCCAGTCAGTTACAAGCCACAAGGCACATGATATCAAACAGACAAATCGATGTGCGTACCCAATGGGAACAACAACACAATGAGAGATCCATCAAAGAATAACCCCCAAGATCACCATTATTGATCCTCATTTGCAATCTTTAGAATTTCTCTGAATTCATGACTAATCTAGGCTGTTTTCATTTTACCGTTTTTCATAAAAAAACGCAATGAATTGCTGTTCACAAGATGGCTACCACGCTGTGACATATGAGCTCCATGTGTTACAATCTTTGTTTTATAAATAGCTTGCATAGCTCACATACAAATTTTCCCTGAATTTGCACAACACTAGATTTTGACCAATTGGTTCGATGATCTGGGCTTTCAGGGCCATGATCAGCAAAACTTGTGGCATTCTCGGGTAAAACTGATTTAGACCAATCAGAATGCCATATTTGAATGACTTAAGCCAATTATCTGTGGCTAAAAAAGAAATTCTGCTCATTCCATTGCCCTTGGTGCTATCATTCTTAGCCAGAGTGTTACTTAAATGTAAACTTAACAGCATCTGAACACAGAGCTTAGATGTTGACAGATTAATAAATGAATTGTGTAGACGGCCATCACATTTAATTAGCTAACATCCTTAGGAGTGATTCAGTGACAAAAATTTCCATTTTAAATTACCAATAAGAACTACTATTGTAAGCCCCCCTCCACCATGCAAGAGGCCTCTCACACATAACCTATGGTGAGCCAAAAACCAAATTGAAGACTGAAATATTTATCAGAACATTTTAAGCCCTTACCTGTAGCAACTTCCACCATGATACTCTTGCCAGCAGAGAAGAGGGGTGTGATGAACACAAAGAATATGTCGTAAATAAGAAGCAGAACAAGTAGCATGGTGCACACCTTTAGGTTCGGTAATCTGATGTTCCTGATCAAACTAATGGAAAATGAAATTCCTAGGATGTCTTGGAGGACCCAGGCATAGCTGAAAAAAGCAAATAATCTACATGTGGAATTGCTGAATAATTATTCTAGACAAATAAATTACTTTTCAAAATCAATAGTGTCCACACATACAAGAATTGAAAGAAACCAGCTTACTACAAATTAGGCATGGTGACAATCCAAACACTGCCAGTACTGATTACTACCTACATGTATACAGTATTTAACATAGATACTGTTATTTATCAGATGCGTACCTTTTATGCCTCTCAATACCCCACCAAATTGAAATGGCCATGCAGAATGCAATCAACACAATGATTCTGATCTGGGGTTGTCCCTTCAGCAATGGAATTCGATTGGGTGGGACTTTACAGTCTCCTAAAGAGTAACAAAATACTCAATTTCACAGCAATTGCTGTTAAATGAAAATATGGTAATTACATGTGTATATATACATTATAACATAAAGTTTAGGTTAGAATATGAAATGTTTGAAAATGTTTATTTGAAGGAATGTTACACAGAATTCCCCTACATGAAAAACAATTTTTAGCAGATTATTAAATAATTCATTCTTGATTTCATAAAAATCTCGAGCTCATTATCTAACTGTTTAATAAATAAGTGTTTATTTTATTAAACACCAGTAAAATACCAGGATTTTTCCTTTTACTAAAAAATCATATCTTCATCATGCATAGTGAAGATACTATTTTTATCTTTCACACTGTGAAGATATCATTCCTTTTTGATAACATTTTTCTTTTGTCCCTTTAACTACACTAAAATTTGTTGATGCACTGTATGATCAAAACATCTTCGGATCTTCTTCCGTCATCTTCAGCAATCTTCAGAAAATGTTCGGAAATGTCTGGAAAATGTTCGGATACGTTCATCTGGCCTTCGAAACAATTTTGGAAAATCTTCAGAAATCTTCAGAAATTGGTTGGAAATCTTCGGAAAATCGTCAAAAACGTCGTCATTAGTGTGTTTATATAATAAACAGAATATTACATGCCCGGTTATGGATACAAATTTTATCTTCTTGTGTTCAACTCAATATCTCACTCATTCACTGCGCTCACTCATGAGATATCGAGTTGAACACTCGAAGATAAAATTCGTATCCATGCACGGGTATGTAATATCCTCTATATCAGATTCAATGTAATGTTAATTAATCAATGCTCACATACCAAGAGGAAGCCACAGGAAGATGGGGCGTAGACACTCATACAGTCCATTACAGGCAGCCAGGCAAAAGAGCACTATCACAACATACACCAAGTAATCAAAGAAATAGTAGAGCAGTAACAGGGTTCCACAGATGAGAATAACAAATACTACCACCATCAAAGGAGTCACTTCAACAGAGCCATCATCTTCATTTGACCCATTGGCTTCATTTTGCTCTCCAGTTGCTGAGGGATTTTTTCTTAGCAATCTCATCCTGAAAAGCATCAACTCACAGCTAAAAACCTTGCAACCACATTATATTTTACAAATGTTTGTAACTTCCATTTTTTTTTCTCGTTTTCACATACAGATAGGTACACAGTTCCAATCCAAGATCAGAGGAACTGTTTGGTTTTTGCTCACCAGTCATGTCAGACCTGCAGATAGATAGCGTAACAAGCTAGGCCCTTTCGTAGAATTTGTTAAATTTGTAGTTTATTTGGTCGGAATGCATAACTTGTTTTGTGTTACTAGCATATCAGTATGTTCCTTTATGGTTTCACAATGAGCTATGTCAGGTAATTTTTTTGCCATGTACAACATCAGTTCTAAATACATTGTATAAACCCATCATGCAAATAAGTTTTAAATGAAAAAATTCCTTCTGGTAGTAAGGCCCCCTACCCTACCCTGCCTCCAGCAATAACAAGCTCTCCTGAAGATACATGTAAGCCCATCTGAAGCCAGACTAGGGCTTACTATCAAGATTTCCCAACTTTAAGTTTTGTATCTGATTCTCTCAATATTTGTATTTGTTTTTGATTAACATATGCAATGTATTTAAAAGTATTTGAAATACATTCAAGCTCACTATTCCCCTCCACTCCACTATCCACACAATTATCATCTTAATACAGGACTTCTGGTAGGTTGCGGGAAAAAAGTCAAATTTCACGGGATTTCCAGGGACGAATTTGCAGGAAAAAACGGCGATTTTGTGGGAATTTCGTGGGAATTTTCAAGGTCATTGTTGCTGAAAAACAATTGGTAAAAAACAGCCAATTTTCCAGGAGTTTTTTGGGCAAATTTCACTAGAAAGCAATTGGTCTTGTGCTGATTTGAGGAGAGTTTTTAATGAAACTAGATGCTCTTAGAGCATTTACTCAGGCCACAGTTAGTAGAGGAGATTGTATCTGTCTCCTCTACTAACTATGCTCAGGCTTCGTACTGCAATATAAAATCGTACTTTAGAAGCAAGCTTATGGAACACAATAAAAACAAATACGAGAATCAGGATATTAAAAACACAGGAGTTACGCTTAGATATTTACTATTCAAGTTGCTTTGTTGAATATCTTCTTCCAATTGCATGTTGTTTGCCTCATCTTCAAAGTTCTATTCTGTTTAGGTTTTGCCCTATGTTTGACCATGAGGTTATTTTTAACAGAGAACATCATTATTTTGCTCTTTTAACAACAATGCGCTCTAGAAATGTGCCAGCGACAAAGCTTTTTACATTGTGGCTGCTGCCCAGTTTTTCACAGCATTAATCTAAGAACGCCTGGTAGTTTTGGGATGTTGTTTACTCATTGCAGTGACAAAGTTTCAAGGTAATTTAGCAAGTTTACAACAAGTACATGAAAGCAGCCCCAACAACCAAGATAACTTTCAAACATGTTGTGCCAACAAGTATTTGGCATCATTTCTAGCGAATTTCGCAGGATTTCGAGTGTTTTTGTGAATTTCGTGGGATTTCACAGATTTACTTGAAATTCGCAGCTCTGCAACCCCGCAAAATATCAGAAGCCCTATTAATATCACTATGTGACACTCCATACTTCTACACTGTATACAGGACTGGAAAAAAAAACTTGAATTCCAGCTTGCCCTTGGGACAAGTAGCTTCTAAAATTTTGCTTGCCCTGGGCAAGTCTTAGTTTGCTCTGGCTCTTAATATTATTACCATTTAGTTGGCAGATGACTTGCCTGATCTCTTGCCTAACAGGCAAAAGAGAGCGAAAAATTACTTGCCCAGGAGGAAAATCTACTTGTCCTGGACGACCGGAGAGCACTTTTTTCGAGTCCTGTGTATAGGATGTCACTTACATCCTTTCCTTGGTCGTGATTCCACACCAGTAGGCTCCAACAGTGACTGTTCCTACTGCCAGAATCCACAATACGGCCAAATTTCCATCAATGCTTCCCGTAGGTGGAGCATACAGCTGCACTTTTCTATGTCTACCAAAATCCTGTACGAAATAATGTTTTCTGATGAACATTCATAAACAAATTATTCTACAATGTAATTTGGATCATTATAAAAATTAAATATTATATTACATGTAAATTGTGCTTATCACTATATATCACTGCATACGAGCCAAGTGGCTCATCAGGCTGGAGCTTATCCCTGTTTCAGTAGCATGAAGCGACTAGGAGTATTTCTCTTCCCCCCTGGATGGGATGCCAGTCCATTACAGGGTTACCCCCAGCATTAAATTTGCCAGTACCCATTTACACACCTGGGTGGAGAGAGGCATTGTGAGAGTAAATGTCCCTGGCCAGGGCTCAAACCGGGAACATTCGCTCCAGAATTGAGTGCACTAACCATGAGGCCACAGCACCTCCCACTACTGCTATAAGAAGCACACTCTATATTTTGATTATATAATAACCGGAGTCTCAATTTCAATTTTTCGCTTGCTGATCCCAACAGATCATTTTCCCCAGTCTTTGAACCACATCACACATGTATCTGAGTATCAACTATCAGTACATTTTCCACTGAATGTGAGCCTTGCTGGTGCTTGCCACTTGTCACATTTTTACCATGCACACTTCTATGTTGAGTCAGAATTTTGCCCAGCTCAAGCAATCTACAGAGCACCTTTATCATATCTCCAAACTCATTTAAAAATTTAATCCTAATAAATTTCTATTGATTACATGATCATGAAGTAACAAAGCTTAAACTTGTATGATGTAGCTCTCCAAATGTCATGTGATGAGCGATCAGCTTGAATTAATAAAAAGTAAAACTAAAAATAGATTCAAAGATATAACAGCGTTCTAGGTTGATACCATTTGCTAACCTTATTCTTGAGTTTTACCCAGTCCTCCTGACTGATCACAGCCATTGGAATATCTACTTTCATATATTCAGCAGATGAATTTGCAAATGGAGTAAACTACAGAATCAAGGACATAACAGTTTCTTTCAGTAGAAATTTACCAAAGTCACACTGCTAGTTCTGGTCTTTCTCTCCATTAGGTACCTAATACCTGTAGAGTTTAGATATGTACAGTACAGGTAGGAAGGTTAAACCTGGGTTTGAGGATAACAATTTTCTCCCTGGTTTGAGTAACCTTGGTGGACAATCCCACATATAATAAAGACCATAAATGTATATACAAGTAAGTCAACATTATTAATAAAATAACTATTAAATGTAAGTTGAAATTCTCCATGCACTTTATCAACAATATATAATATTCAATTAATTACCAGATCTTTTTTCCTTTCAATTTGTCAGATCTGCCATCCAGCTAGATTGGCTTCTATTAGGTATTGTAACTGGAATTTTACCAGCTAAATGTACAGTCTTGTATTCCTATATTATAATGCTTCTTTGTAAATCAAAGGTCAAACATGTGTTTTTGCTGTTGTAGATGCTCCATAGTCACTTACTTACAAGTCCTACCCGACAGACCCTTGTATGCTCCAGTTGTCTGAATACCGCATTTACTCGAATAAGTGCTGCCCCCAATTAAGCGCCACCCTCAAGTGCAGCATTGGGATAAAACAGTTAATAAGTGCCACCCCCGAATAATCGCTGCGGCCTGGATGTGGTGCATATTTGAGGAATTCAGTGTAACTAAAACTCCATTAAAAAGCAACTTAGTCTAACACAGCATTGGAAATTTATTTTCACGAAGACAATGTTCTTCAGTTCAAAATGATTACAGTTTTGCAAGCCACTAGCCCATTAAGTTCCCTGTTTAAAATTCTTGCAATACGTAGTTCTGTTGTGAAGGCCATGAACTTTGCGGGAACAACAAGCCCAACTTCTCTCTTCCTTTTCCCAATTACTTGTGCAAATAGATTTTCTGACAGATTGAAAATGTATCTTTATATTAAAAGAAAAAACTTTGTCATGTTCATCTTTTGAGTAAACGCTGTCCTGAAATAAGCACCACCCCCGAATAAGTGCCGCATTTGAGGTGTAAAAATTTAATAAGTACCATGGCGCTTACTTAAGTAAATACAGAACTTACTGAATACTCACCAAAGTATCATTGCTGACAATAATCACCTCCTTTGCTCCCGCAAATTTTGCAGCAAGACCCTTCACAAGTAATGTGCAGTTTCCCCTCTGTATTGCCACAGCAGCACCTTGTATCTCTGAGGGATTTTCAGGTTGCTGGCACAGAACAGAGGGCTTGGCCTCAACTAATGAATACTTGGGCTGGTAGGAAACAAAATAATAATTATAATTAGCTTTCAATTACAATATTGCAACATATAACAGATTGATAAATGCTAGCCACTGATTATCTATTTCAGTCTTTTTTGCGACCAAAGGATCAAGAGTTTTAGAGGAAAGGGTTAATGAAACACAGGTATCAAAAACTGTGTTCAGCCACCTTAACTTTTAATCCTGGATTAGCGTTAACCAGTTTCAGAACAACCTGGTCCTGATTACAACAAAATAACCTGACATGAGCCTGCGATCCAATCAAAAACCAGTACTTAGACAGCAATCAACTTTAAAAGAACCAACAAGAGACAAAAATGAGCTCTAAATGTGAGCCTACGTTATGGTCATGTGATACTGGTCAGCTGATACCTTGTTTAGACAGGCCTAAGTACTTCATGTATTCCTTATTATAGTGTATTTAGATATTCTCTACTATTGATCATAACATGGATGTCCAATATCAAAGATACACACGCTGTAAACCAAGACTGCATGACTTGGTGATAGCAGGAGTATGGCCGCCATGTTGCACGATGTTGTTGTCGCCGGCATTGGGTGCACATGCCCACGATCCATGCATGCACTGTTTACATGATAGATCAAGAGTATAATGCTGTTTCTGCCATGAAACAAAACCATGCTATTTGCACAATATTAAACTGAAGAGATCAGTCAGTAATAAAGTAGCATGTTTCTTTACATTTTCATCAAGAAAGAATGACTTTTTATAAGTGGAACGATCTGACTATTTTGTTGACCCGATCTGACTATGGAATGATTGGACTTTAATATTTCAATCTGAGTAGTAGTAATTTGACGACATCAGAACTCTCCAAAATGGCCACCAGTACTCTTGTGAAATCTGCACACACAATACAGAAATCTTGACTGTCAGTAGACATCGGAATCTGAACCTCTCCCTACCCCCATCCCCCCCCCACTCTAATAAAAGAGTGATTATTTTCAAATGCACAGTAGTGGCATTCATTATGCCTTTGAGAGGTTCACTCAAAATGGTAGAATCAAATTATTTTTAGCCTACTGGAGCGTAATGAACGTATCTCTACGAAAACCAAACAAACAAGCGAAATATTTCTCCAAGGAGTCATGAATCGATGAAGTACAAGATTTAACCTTAAATAAAATTTGTTTCGTTACCTCGCAACTCAAACACTCGTCAAAAAATCCATGCGTGTTCGCCATGTTTGAGCGCAAGACGAAATGTGTTTTGTTAAACAAATTCTTATGCATGTTGTTTTTACCGTTTTATCAAGATCCGTTGGAATTGACGCCCATATTGTATTGTAAGCGATACAAAAATCTTGCCAATCTTTAGTTCCTTCGACGTGAAGAACTCCCAAATCGCCTGCATCTTGCCCATTTCCCTAATCAAAAGAGCACAACATTTAAGATGTTTGTTAAAAAAACCCAACATGAAAAAAACTGCTAAGGTTCCTGCAACTGTCAATACACACCTGGCTCATAAAAGAGATTAAAACTAAGAGCAAAATAACACGGCGGACTTCCTCCATCTTGGGTCTTTCCGTGTTTGAAGGGACTGTCTGATAATTACGTCATGAGTAGATCCCAGAGCCCCTCGCATGTCCCACAGGACAGTACAGTGTACGCTACATGACGATGTACCTAATTCTGACGTGATTTTTCCGCTGCAAAAAATTAAGAAATGGAAGACCAAACTAAATATACGAAATGGCTGGCTCGAGAAGCTCAGCTGAGCCAGAAGCACGAAGAAATGTAAGTTCTCTTTCTTGTTTTAACACCTAATTGACGAGGCAGCGTTCTTCATTTCTCGGGGGTACGCATATAAATTAAAATTGCGCGCCCATTTCAAACATGTTGTCCAAGGTCAGTTCGATGTCGGCGACTAATTTTTATTTTTCGTTTTTTTTTTAAGCTTCACGTATCGCTATTAACTTATATTTAAAGTAACGTAAGTAAGTAAAATACAAGTTTATTTAGCCAGGTTGGCCCGGCTGGTATACAGATTTATTTTAACAAGATGTGAACACAATTCCAATATTTTTCTGTGATTGAAATTGAGAGGCCTCCACTGGTTTGTCTGAGATCTATTATAATCTCTGCGAGAAGTTTAAGGCTAAATCTAGCCTTTTATGTTTCGTGAACGTAAGATTTCAGAATAGTTTTCTGACCCGATATGTCGTTGTGACTTTTGAGAACTACTTCTGGGTTTAAACCCTGGGGGAGGGGGGACTCCCATATGAGGTGCACTCGAACAAATAATGATAAAAAATGCTGTTATTTCAGTTTTTAGTCTCAATTTCCACCAGTCTCCCAAGTGTAATCTACTACCGGTATCACAGGCTCCTTTCCTGAACAGCGGCTGGTAATCAAGCCTATTCAGTTTTAAGTGGTATCATTTAGGGGTCAAATAAAGCTCAATCTACGCCCAGATTGGTCTCTTTTAGGGGTTTAACTCAAATTTTCTGACAAGCATCCCTGACCTTTTCTTACTGGGTTTAAACTGTCTTCAATATGGATAATGTTACCTAATTACACTACTTCAACACTGCATACTGTGTATGGGATAAATACGTGTTACTGGAAGCAATATTATAATAATTATGGCTTGTATTAAATTATACATAAAATGCTTTTCAGCCTTGCAAAGCGCGAGATGTTACTTACAGCAAATGAGTCACTTGTGGGAACAAAAGAGAAAAAAATCCAGGTTACTGCAGATGATTTTCATAGGACCAAGACAAGAAATGATCAGTTGGTCAAGGTATGATGTAGGTTAGTTATTGTAGAATGTGTAGTTCCAGAAAATATCCATACCTACCCCACAGAACCAGCGCTCAAAATTAGAAAAAATATCCAAGTTGTCCGTATTCCAAATGCAGGCCAACCTAACCCCTGGCTCTGGTTGCCCTTAAATTATTATATAATTTGTCGCTTAGTTATAGGTAGTGGAAGGGTTTTTTTTTTTTTTTTTTGACGTAGATGACGCCAACTGGCGCAAATGGCTCCCTTGCAATATCTTTCAAGCAGGATGTTTGCACTTTCACGTAAAAACGTTAACGCTTAGCAAAAGTACTTCCTTGAAACAGAAAGTACAACACTTGCATATTCACGTAAGAGAAATACAGTAACAACAGCAAAAAGCCTGTAGTTTCAATGAAAAGCAGGGGAGTGGCAAACAAAATACACTCCCCTGAAAGATACGATATTATGGTACTCTAGATAATAGTGTAGTTCATAACCCTATAACTGAGCATTGGCAATTTTCGCCAAAGCTGGCTAGCTACTCTCCAACAGCCCCGATAAATTAACAGAATTTTCTTACTGTATAAAATGTATATTTGACAACTTGTGAAGTACTTTCCAACAATGCCTCAGAAAAGAAATGATTACCTATGCACCATAATATTTTTGGGAGGTCTGGGTTTGAAAACATGGCAGTTTGCCGCTTTCATCAACAAACAAAACACCAGATTTAAATCTTTTATATACCTTTTTTTGTTATTCAGTTGCACTTTACAGTAACGGTTAATACTTCAATTTTTCCTGGGTTGTCCATTGTTATTTTCGTTGGATAACCAGGCCTTTAATTTTACAGAAAAATGGTTGCCCAGACCATTTTTTAGTAGTCTCAGACGACCGGACGACCGCTAATTTCAAGCATTGCAGGAGGGATTTTTTTTCAAGACCCCCCACCTCTCTGGAAATTCCAATAAAGCTTGATACATTTCTTTAAATGTTTTGGTCTTAGAGAATGCTCAACCCCCAGGAAATTCCAATCCCTTCTGTGGGGGGAGTATGGATATTTTCTGGAACTGTGCAATGACTGACGGACTGACCAAGCCTCTGATTGGACAGATGGATGAATGAACAAATGAATGAACTAACAAACGAATGAATGTAAATGAATGGTGCAGCAGGCAGATGGAGGGTTTTCCTTTCCAGTCTTTTTATGAGTTTTATGGGTCACACAGTACATCCCTCCTAATGACTGCACTTTTAAAGTAGAACAGTTTTCCTAACCAGAATTTTAAGTTTCAGCTCAGGTGCAATGTTTGGGACCCAAATACAATTGAATTTCTTGAAAGTGACCAGCTTAGGAAATTTTTTAAAAAATGGTCATAACTAGAGCTGGCCACGTATTAGAACAGTCTCTTGTAAGTGATACTTGCATAATCAGTAGAGGGTAATCAGTTGTGACAGCTTTATAGCATGAAGCATGGGATTTGTAAATAATTATTATTATTATATGGCTCTGGCTTGTGGCCGATTTAACGCGCGCTCTGATTGGTTAATTGTCACTGAATTGTAGGGCATTATTCTCCCGTAATGCCCACGGGCCGATTACGGATTATGCAANATTAGGAAGAGCCCGGTTCTGAAAATTCAAGCGCATTGAAGCGATGAAAGCCGATTAAAATCAGTACGAGAAT